GAGAGAATAGTGGCAAGTTCTAACTGAAGTTTAAAAATGGACCTCTAGCAGTCGTATTTAAAAAACATCTGGGTCAAGCCAGGTGGTGGTGGCATATTCCTTTAATCCCAGCACTGGGATGTAGCCCTGGATGTCCTGGAACTCAACTCTGTATACCAGGCTAGTCTTGGAACTCACAGAGATTCACCTGCATCTGCCTTCCAAGTGCTAGGATCAAAGGTGTGTGCCACCACTCCCCCAGCGCAGACATCCCCCATCTGATGTGGCCACATTAACCATGTTAATATCAATGATACTTTCTACATATCAGGTCTGGCCTTGGCTTTACAGGTTGTCAGGTTAGCTCTGCTAATCCTCAAAGACTGTCTCACAGGGAAGAGATCCGACCAAAGGTGGGAATGGAATTACCAAGATATCAACGTGTATCTTTTATTTTGGAGTTGTTTTTATTTATTCATATTTCAGTGTTGGGGATTGAATCCAGAGCCTTGTGCCTGCCAGGCAAACTACCACAGAAGCAAACTCCCAGCCCTTGTTTGACAGGGTCTCTCAATTCTACATCCCAGGCTGACCTCCAACACGCTAACTCCCTATCCTCCTTTGCACTGCCTGAGTGCTGGAATCACAGGGCCCAGACCTAGAGCAAGAACTGGAAATCCTAAGTAGTCTTGGAATGCGTTCTGTACTATTCCACACTGTCTTCACCAGTTCTTGCTGGAATTTGACTGTATTGTAAGTATCGAAATCTCCTTCCAGGTGGTGGTACACTTTCAATATAAATATGAATAATTCGGAACCGAGATTCACGTGGTTGAAGGAGAGAACCAAATTTCGCAGGTTGTTCTGACAACCCCCCCCCGTGCCGTCTCTTACACACACACACACACACACACACACACACACACACACACACACACACACACACACACACGGGGCATAGTGGCGACCACCTGCAGTCTTAGCACTGGGAAGGTTCCTGGCCAGCCACGGACATTCAGTGAGATCCCTGTCTCCAACTTTCAAAGAATTAAGCCCACACCTCATGCCCTCCGTACCCACAGATCCACCCACGGGTGGCTCAGAGGGGACCAGGGCAGGGAACGGCAGGTTTCTCAAATAAACGACTGAGTGACCGGCTGCAACTTTCACTACGCTATCTCCACCCTGAGCCGCCCAACCCAAGGCTCAGTTTGCCCAGTGGCAGAGCTTAAAGACCAGCCGACGTAGGCGGGGCAAGATACTCAGGAAGGGGCGGGCACCTCCGGCACGACTGCGCACAGGCGGGGCGGGGCGGGCCTCCCACACCGCGACGCTATTGGCCTTGCTCGGCGCCACTCGGCAGTAGTTACGGAAGTCAGCCCCACTTCTTCCTCTTTCTCTCGGACCAGGCGGCCTCAGCGGTGAGCAACGCAGCCATGGTGAGGCCACGGGAATCTGGTGCCATCCGGGTGGGGGAACGCGTGGGGACAGCGGCGCGGGGTGCGGAGGGTAAGCGGGGGACGCAAGGAGCGTCCGAGGCCTGCGGTTTGGCTCTGTACGGCCGGCCCTGCTTCGGGCCAGTACGGACCGCGTACCCTACCCGCTCACGGTGCCTCGGTCGGCCGCGGTGAAAGCGGGAGCCTTCCACTCGGTGACCCACAGAGTCGCCTCTCGTACAGGCCAAGATTAAGGCTCGGGACCTGCGCGGCAAGAAGAAGGAGGAGCTGCTAAAACAACTGGATGATTTGAAAGTGGAGCTATCCCAGCTTCGCGTCGCCAAGGTGACAGGCGGCGCCGCGTCCAAGCTCTCCAAGATGTAAGTGACCCTTGAGGTCCTAGCTGGGTGCACACCATTCTCTGCCTTGGCCCCTTGCGCATTTTCCCACCAATCGACCTTGGCCAATTTACGTAGTTTAAAGAACTGGGAATTCCGGAAGGCACATGGCAGTGCCACCCGCCTGGACCCAGGCATGGGTTGTAGGAGGACTGGAGGAACATGGTAAGGACCAAGGGGGCTTGCGAAGAGGACATGGGTTGGCTTTAATGGATGCCGTCAGTACTCCACCTCAGACAGTCTTGAGGGTGAGTAGAGAAAACAAGGAAATTTACGTGCTGAGACCTCCAGCCTATGCCCTCAGACAAATTGCTCTCTGCCTGCTTCTGTGTTCTCTCCACACCTGTTGATTTCACGGTGTGCTTCCTTAAGCTGGAATAGCTACCATTTCATAGCATAGCCTCTGGTATAAGCTCTTGGCCTGGGTTAAAAGACGTTTCTCGTTGTCTTAGCTGCATTAGTTTTCCATACACGTGTCCCTGGAGAGCCTGTTGACAAACTTGTCCTCGCCTCCAGGACTTTGCCCACTAGGTGATATAGATGGGGACTTGGGGCGTACCAACATAAGCTGGCACTTGGAATTCATAGACATCTGTTTTCACAGACGAGTTGTCCGTAAATCCATCGCCCGTGTTCTCACTGTCATTAACCAGACTCAAAAGGAAAACCTCAGGAAATTCTACAAGGTGAGCACTGGCCGGAGCTGTTGTGGAGAGGTTTGGGGGTACGTGGGAGGAAGGGTGATCTCTCAATTTTTGTGCCTGAGTTTAACCAGTTATCAGCTTCCCGCGCTGACATGAGTTCTGTTAGTGTCAAAAGTGGGCGTCCGGTGTGGGCCTTTTCAGCTATGCTGTGTTGTAGTCATTGGGTTATTTTGCTGCGGGTCGGAGCTGGAACCCTGGCCTCTGGCTGTTCAGGTGTTGTCTCTGTCACTGTTTCTGTCTCATCTGCCAAGCACTTGCTGGTAAACTGAGGGACCCATGCCCCTCTTCGACCTTAATTCTGTCAGTGTAGAGGCAAAGCAAGGCTGCAGATTCACTCCTGTGGCCGGGGCTGTTGTCTCCAGAAGAAACTGTTCTGGAGGGATCCTCATCATTTTAAGATAATTCTCCTCTTAATTAAAGCCATCTGGTAGAGCAAATTAGTATTGGGACTTGGCATATCAATCAGAAAGCTGTCGTGATGTCAGGAAATTTTGGTTTGGGCAGGTCTGGACTCTTCCTCAGTTTCTGAGAATCAGGCACTTGTCAATCAGGGAACTGAACTTAGGTGAAACTTTTTGTGGTTCTTCGTGACTCCGGATACATGTGGCATTTCATCATTTAGCGTATATGTAACTGAAGATGGCTTTTTATTCAGGTGGTGCTTGGTGGCTAAAACCCTGACGTTTCAAATGTCAGGCAAGTAAGTAAACCAGCACTGAGCTACCCCCAGACCACAAAAAAGTAAAGTTGGGGGTTGTGCTTTTTCTTTTTGAACAGGTCTCACTTTGTAGACCAGGGTAACCTCTGCCTCCCTGCAGGGTTGCAGGCACCATGCTGTGTGGGCACTGTTAGCCATCTAGTCACTTGTTCATAAAGAACAATAGATAGGCGTGTTTAGTGGGTGCTGTGGGGATGTAACTCACTAAGCGAGTGGGTGAACAGAACATGGATAAGGCCTACCCGAGGCGTCTGTGCCCTCGCCCCATGCTATACAGCTTTCTGGGGTCCTCCATCCACCTGCAGGAACTTTGTGGTTTTTCGAGACAGGGTTTCCTCTGTGTAGCTGTAACTTGGTCTGGCCTCTAACACACAGAGATCTCCTAAGTGAAGGGATTAAAGGCGTGCACAGCACCCGGCCAAAGGGATTTCTTTAGATTTTATTATGTATACAGTATTCTGCCTGTATGTATCCCTGCAGGCCAGAAGAGGGCACCAAATCTCACTGCAGATGCTTGTGAGCGTGGTTGAGGGGGAATTAAAATCTTAAGCACTGAGCCATCTCTCCAGCCCTCCTCTTTTTTGTTTTTTGAGGACAGGGTCTCTCTGTAGCCTCTGGCTGTCCTGGAACTTGTTCTGTAGACCAGGCCATGAACTCAAGAGATCTGGCGCCTCTGCTTCCTGAGTGCTGTCATTAGCAGTGTGGGCAACCACTGCTCAGCCTGACTACACTTTTTTTGTTTCTTTGTTTGTTTTTTGTTTTTCGAGACAGGGTTTCTCTGTAGTTTTTTGGTTCCTGTCCTGGAACTAGTTCTTGTAGACCAGGCTGGCCTCGAACTCACAGAGATCCGCCTGCCTCTGCCTCCTGAGTGCTGGGATTAAAGGCATGCGCCACCACCGTCTTGCTTTGACGACATATTCTTAAAGACTTGTGCGTGCCTTGCTCTCTGCTTTTCAGTTGACTGCTGGGAGCTTGCTTTGGAAGCCATTTTGTCCTGAAGTTCTTGGTGGGGCTTCTGCTCTTCTCTAAGTAGAAGTCTGACCTGTAGGACCTGTGTCCTGGGGGTGGGGGGGACTAATACTTTAGAACTCTTGGAAAAGCCTAGGAGATGAAGGTGACAGCTCCCTTAAAGGTTGTGTCTGGAGGCCCACCCAATTAATAGTAGCCATCACAATCCCAGTGTGTGTCTTGTGCCCTTTAGATTGTGCGCTGTGATTTTCACTTAGTTACTGGCAATTGATACATAGGAAAGTGTAATTTAGCCCTCTGGTCTTGGTGTACACATAGAAACCGTCCAGCCTATTGGCAGATCCCAGCTGAAAAGCTCTGCGTGCCGTCCAACTTACTGTCCTGTCTTAGTCTCCTGCTTTACTGTAGCCCCTGGTACTCAGACTCACTCTCTGTCCCAGGGCAAGAAGTACAAGCCTCTGGACCTGCGACCCAAGAAAACTAGAGCCATGCGCCGGCGGCTCACCAAGCACGAGGAGAAGCTGAAGACAAAGAAGCAGCAGCGGAAGGAGAGGCTGTACCCGCTACGCAAGTATGCGGTCAAGGCCTAATGGAAGGGCAATAAAGTGCAAGACTGGCTAACTTTCTGCTTTTTGTTTCGTACCTGGAGCCAGTGGGGGTGGGGGCCTGGTGACCACTTAGCTACAGCGGATGACAGACAGGATGGGGTAATCCCTGCATGTAGCCAAGATCCTGGTGGCTGCTTTCTGTGGTAAGTTAGGCAGAAGAGCTTCTTGAGACTTAAGCAGTGGGCTTGTCATGTTGCCATATCAGCAGCCCCTGACACTAAGAGTTTGCCGTCAGGGGTGAAAACACAAGCGTGGACCACATCGAGCAGGCCCTGTGGGTAGCACAGCATCAGAGTCAGGGTTGGCGGGTCCTGCCAGTCTTTGCGCCGATCCTGATCAGCACTGTACCTTACCTTTAGGGTCTCCAAGCATTCTCCTGTGTTGCAGCCCCAGACTTCGACCTGGATGTAAAAACAGGCAGACTTTGGAGTTGTCGGTGTGCTCCCAAATTCCAGGCATGGCGTGGGCTCTTCTGTGGGCAAGCTTTAAAGTGCCACCCGCATAGCCTCTAGCACAGATGTGAAAGGTTCATAGGTTAGCGTTGTTGATGCCACCATTGTGGGGCAGCCCAGTGCCCTTGCTGTGCAGCTAGGCCTATGGGCATCGTCTAGCATGGGAAGGCTAAGGTTTGGAGGAGGGGTACCTTGGGTGGACTTACTGTGCGCACTGGCTAGCCTCCGCTCGTCGGGAGAAAAGGCTAGGCTCTTCACCCAGGTGGCGTGTCCCTTGAGCTGGAAAAGAAGGCTGCTGGTTGTGGGCTTCCAGATGCGGATGGTCTTGTCCCAGGATCCAGATGCCTAAATAGACACCCCTGAGCTCAGTGAACCTCACAGTGGCCTGCACCCTTGAGGGTCTGGGAGCAAATAGGGACCGGCCTGGAGCCCAGGTAGCCTGACTTACCAAGAGGCCAGATGCTGAGTAGCGTAAGCAGCTGATGTTGCCAGTGTGGCCCTCTAACACCTGGTAGGAGACAGCTGGGGTTGCCGCCCGCAGGTCCCAGATGTGCACAGTTGAGTCCCAGGAGCCAGTGGCCTCTGGGCAGTGACCATGAGTATGAGCCAGCTCTTCACTCCTGTGGCCACTGACAAGGTGGGGGCCGGGATGAGGCTCACCAAAGCGCTTGTAGTGGGGGAGAAGTCACTGCTCTGCACAGAATCACGATGCCCAGCCAAGAGGCGTACGCTGTGGCCAGACTGTAGAGAGAGTCTGAGCTACAGAGATGAAGGGGGCAGTCCAGAGCCTGTGGCCCTTTACTAGGCCTAGCCTTTGGGGCTACTGGCCTAAGTGAGCTTGCTGGGCCTTGCCACAAGAGGGAGGGGCAGTATGGGCTAGGAACTGCAGGGAGGAGAAGCACTGGGGGTCATGGGTGCAGAAAGCACATACCTCTGACCCAGGCCCCATCTTCTCATACCTGTACCTCCCAGAGAATGACCCGCCTGTCCCAGCTGCCTTGAGTCAGGGCTGAAGCTGACTGTCTCCACACTCCGCTGGTGACCTGCAGACGCCAGCCCAAAGGTGGGGAAGAGGACAGGACACAGCCCACAGAGGAGCCTAAGCAAGTTGGCCCTTTTACCTCTCAGCACATGCAGCCACTTGAATCTTGTCACATCCCACAGGCGAACAGTGTGGTCACAGGAGGAGCTGGCAACCAGGCGGCCATCAGGGGAGAAGCGGCAGAATTCCCTCAGGCTTATCTATCCTGTGACCAAGAAAACAGTCCAAAAAATTCACATGTACAGGCTGACAGGCAACCTGGAGGACATAGGCCTGAAGGATAAGTCAGTAAACACTAATGTGTCCCATTGGGGGAGGGGGCTTCTAGAGAAGTCTCAACATCTGGGATGGAGTAGAATGGGGTGTAGTTCTGCCAAAGAAGGTTCTGGAGAATATGTACCACTGGCCTGCATATCTAGGGATTAGGAAATAAGATCTGACTGGGCTGTGGGTGCACACACCTTTAATCCCAGTACTCAGGAGGTAGGCCAGTACAGAGTACCAGGACAGCCAAAACAAATCATTCCAAAAAAGCAAAACAAGATTTGAGCTCAGGTCTCAGAGTGAGTGGCTGGGCCCCCTGAGTGTTAGGTTTGGTGTCACCCAGTCCTGTTGCTCCAACCCTCTCCCCCAAAGTCCTAGGTCACCAAGATAGGGTCCAGGTGGCTAAGTCCCACCTCTGTGGCCTGCCATTCTCCACAGCAGCCGCCTGCTCCTGGTCTCCCATACATACACACAGCCGTCATCTGCGGCTGTGAGCAGGGTCTGGCCATCGGGAGAAGGCAGAGCAGTTGACCTGGAAGTCAGAAACGGGGCATAAGTGGTTCCATGGCTGTCAAATGTTATTTGTCCCCTCAGCTCTAACCTGCCCAGGAACCCAGGGTGAGGGCATAAACTCCAGGTCCCACTCCTAGCCAGGACCCTGTGAACCTAGGCTGGAATCCAAATCCTAAAGCAAGTTCTAAATCGGAGTGAATTTCAGCCTAGCCTGGTGGCCTGAGCCTTTAATCCCAGCACTTGAGAGGCAGAGGCAAGCCTGGTTTACAAAGCAAGTTCCAGGGCAGAAACTCTGAAAAAAAAACCAGAAGATTGACAAACTGGCCATAGTGGTGCAGACCTTCAATCCCAGCACCAGGGAGGGCAGGAGAACTGGCTGAAGTCAGCTTGCATTTTGAGCAGCCTGATGCTGCCTCAAAAGCCAAAACAGATCCATGGAGAGTTTCTGGCTAAACAGCTACATAGTGAAACCCTTAGACAGAAAAAGGCCGGGCGAACACGCTGGAGGTAGAGGCAGGTCTATATAATGAATTCCAGAAAGCCAGAGCCACGTAACGAAACCCTGTCTCAAAAACCAAAAAGAGGGGGCTGGAGAGATGGCTCAGAGGTTAAGAGCATTGCCTGCTCTTCCAAAGGTTCCCAGCAACCACATGGTGGCTCACAACCATCTGTGATGGGGTCTGGTGCCCTCTTCTGGCCTGCAGGCATACACACAGACCGAATATTGTATACATAATAAATAAATATTAAAAAAAAAAACCAAAAAGAAAAGATAATCCTAGAGGCTATACTTGAGCTCTGGAGAGACCCTACCAAGCCTGGTCAGAGCCCCGGGGGCTCACCTCTCCGCGGTGTTGACCGAAGAACCTCACTCTGCCCACGGCCAGCTTTGTTGGGGCCTTGATGTTCATGGGCATCCGCCACAGGGCCAGGCCCTCCTAAGCGGGCGCCAGTCCCATTGGAGGGTCGGTACAAGGTGGAAGGGTAAAGGAAGCTGTGTACAAGCAGTCTCCATGGTAATGGGACGGAGTGCGCAGCCGCAGTCGGGGAGGTTTCCAGTAAGCCTCCGTGTAAGGCGGCTGTGATAGAGACCTTTTAGGTTACAGGAAGCTGCTGCAAGTGGGGCGGCAGGAGACACCAGTAACCTTGGGCCAAGAATTTGAGCAGAGTGACCTCTAGAGGGCGCGCCAGATACGCACCGGGACACCAGCTGCAAAGGCCACACTGACTCCTTCAACTGGCTGAACAGGGTCCAATTTACCAGTGCTTAGTTGAATCAAACACGGCGGAGGGCGGGGGACGCGTAGCGCTAGCACAGGGTAGTATCCACGAAGAGCCAGACTTCCGTCCAGAAGTGGCTGGCTGGCTCTGGATCTAGGGACATCCATCTCCACCTCCAGGATGCAAGGAACAGGAGGGCCTGGGATTGGAGGTACAGGTGGGAGGTCCCAGGAGCTCTCAGGATCGTACGTGGATTGCTTGACCTGAAACGTGCAAAGAACAAACCTTTACAGCTGTGGAAACTGACGGCTAAAGAAATGCAAATGTGGAGAGTAGTGCTGGCTCTCCTCACCAGAGCCCTCACAGCGGTGTCTGAGGTCCTTATTTCTTGTACCTCTGGGAAACAGGCTCCCAGGGGGAGGAAATGGGCAAGTCACTCAGTTCCTTCATCAAAGAGCTGAGGCCGAAAATGAGCAGGGATGGGTGTGGGGAGGTCTCCCCTTGTGAATTTCAGACTGTGGGGTTGGGCAGGGCGGCAGCTTTGGGAGTGTCAAATTCAAGGGTTCCCAGCAGTGACTCATTCCCTTTCCCCCACAGCCCTTTGCCAGAATCTTCTCACGGGACCACTCTAGTCCCGCTCTATTTTAGGCTCTAGACAGTCAGGCGTGTAAGGGGGCGACAATGGCGGCTTTGAGCCGGGCCCACCCTCATCCTTGCTCCCAAAGGGCCCAAGTCACTGAGTTGGCTCCTCAGAGACCTATCTGTGCTGATTAAAAAGATTCTCCCCACCACATGACTCCCAAAGACAGAGTGCTCAGAAGTCAAAATCCCTGGCCTCTTCTATGTTCAGGCACCAACGCCCTGCTCACATGTCCCCTAGCCACCTGACTGCTACCCCTACCTTGGCCTGGTCACTAGACCGCCGGCCTCTATCACCCTCCCTACCTATCCTACTTAGAGTTAGTGTGCAGCAGGAAACACTGCAACCAAACGCCAGCTGGGTAGGAAAGGGAGTTTGGGGCTTTTTTGCTTGCTTCTTTTGTTTTGTTTTGTTTTCAAGATAGGGTTTCTCTGTATATCTTTGGCTGTCCTGCTTCTGCTTCCCGGAGGCTGGGATTAAAGGTGTGCACCACCATGCCCAGCTAGGAAAGGGTTTTTAAGTGGCTTACACTTCCACATTGCAGTCCCTTCATTGAAGACAGTCAGGACAGGAACTCAAACAGGGCAGGAGACTTGAGGCAGGAGCGGATGCAGAGGCCATGGAGAGGTACTGCTTACTGACTTGCTCAACCTGCCTTCTTACAGAACCAGGACCAGCAGCCCATATCTATGTAAAGTAGGCACTCACAGGTTTCCTGAGGAGAGCACTGTCTCTCAGGGGTGGTGAATGGTAGAAACCCTCCTCCAAATACAGATTTCCAAATTGCCCTTCTTGCTAAGCCTACTGCTGGGAACACCGGTATTGTAAAAAAGGCCTGGCAGCCTGGGGCTTCATGCCCAGCAGGTGTGCAAGCCCTGATTTTGGGCGGGTGCAGTCTCTGGGGACTCCTAAGGAGGTCACAGGAATGATGGTGACTCAGGCCCTGCCCAATGGTCTGAAGTACTCAGATCCAAAACCCTGTAAGTGAATCCATTCTCCAGCTACCTGACTGCTCCTGGGGCCAGGAAATGCTTCCCTCACACCCATCACCCCTAGTACCGCCTAGGAAGGCCAAGGGAGGCATTTCATAACACTTATCTTCTCGGGAAGTGTGTCCCACCATGTCCTTCTCCCTGTCCCCTGCTCTGCGGCTTATCGCATCACAAAGCTAAACACACACACACACACACACACACACACACACGTCAGCGCTCTTCTAAAGACCCAGGCTTACAAAACAGAAGCTTCTAGTCCTTAGGCCAGGCGACTTGAGGCAAGGCAAATGAGCAAGACAGCAGTGAAGCCCAGAGCCAGGGTGAGGGCTAGTCTCTGGAAGACTGGGAAGAGCCAGGGCATCCTGAAGAGTCAGTCCTGATTCACAGCTGCTGCCTGGGGGTGAAGAGGGCCTGGTAGACCCTGGGGGAAGGCTCATGACAAGCCCTGCAGCCCCAGCCACAGGCCCTGAGGTGACCCCAGTCCCTCTGTCAGCAGCAGTGGGCCCATGGAGTTTAATGTTGCTGCCCAAAGTTGCATAGGAGTCTCTTCAGGGACATCCACTCAAGTGAAGCCATGGTTCTTGATTGGGTAACAGAGAGGAATTCTAGGGTGGGCAAGATGAAGCAGAACTGTGGTTTCTTGTTTGGTGGTGGTAGTGGTGGTGGTTTTTCAAGATAGGAATTTTCTCTATTTAGCCCTGTCCTGGAACTCACTCTGCAAACCAGGATGGCCTTGAACTCACAGACTGCCTCTGCCTCCCAAGCACTGGGATTAAAGGTGTCAGCTACCACACCCATCGAGATTTATTATTAAAGATTTATTGATTTATTATGTATACAGTGTCCTGCCTGCGTGACAGAAGAGGGAACCAGATCTCATTACAGATGGTTGTGAGCCACCGTGTGGTTGCTGGGAATTGAACTCAGGACCTTTAGAAGAGCAGTCAGTGCTCTTAACCGCTGAGCCATCTCTCCAGCCCTCACCTCCCCACCCCCACCAAGAACTGCTATTTTTTTAAAATATTTATTATGTGTACAATATTCTGTCTGTGTGTATGTCTGCAGGCCAGAAGAGGGCACCAGACCTCATTACAGATGGTTGTGAGCCACCATGTGGTTGCTGGGAATTGAACTCAGGACCTTTGGAAGAGCAGGCAATGCTTTTAACCTCTGAGCCATCTCTCCAGCCCCAGAACTGCTATTTATTAAGGGAGACTTTAACTTCAATTTAAGTACAGAGTTAATAGATTCAGAGAAAGGATAAGGCACAGCTATGTGTGCATGTGGACTTCTCAAGGGATAGTTACATTTAAGCAATAACCATATATATGATTTTGGTGGCTCTCAAGTTATATCTGTAAGGATAGCTAGGCAACATTGCCCTCACTCTTTCCCCTTTTCAGTGAGTTTATAATAGGGATGACTCTAGAGATGCTGTGGTAGGGTTTCCATTGCCACGAAGAGACACCATGACCATTGCAACTCTTTTCTTTTTTAAAGATTTTTTAAATTTTTTATGTATACAGTGTTTTGCCTGCATGTATGCTTGCATGCCAGAAGAGGGCACCAGATTTCATTACAGATGGTTGTGAGCCACTATATGGTTGCTGGGAATTGAACTCAGGACCTTTGGAAGAGCAGCCAATGCTTTTAACCTCTGAGCCATCTCTCCAGCCTCCCATTGCAACTCTTATAAAGGAAAACATTTAAACTGGGTGGTTTACAGTTTAGAGGTTCAGTCCATTATTATCATGATGGGCCATGCATTGTGCAGGCAGACACGGTGCTGGAGAGGTAGCTGAGAATTCTACATCTTGCACAGGCAATAGGAAGTAAACTGAGACACTGGGTGTGGCTTGAGCATATATGAGACCTCAAAGCCTCCCTCCACAGTGACACACTTCCTCCATTATGCCCTACCTACCTCAACAAGGCCACACCTAATAATAATGCCTCTCCCTTTGAAGGCCATTTTCTTCCAAACCACCACAAGTGCTATTGGTAGGATTTCGATCTGATAAGGTTTACATAGATCATAAAGGTTACCCAAGGGTTTCTTGTGAGAGGCCTAGAAAATGATGTGTGTACAGTGGAAAGGGGCAAGGCGTATATGCTTAGGCCTTGAGCATGTTTTATGGCTATTTTGGCATTTTATTTGCAACTTCTCTAAGAAAGGAATATTGTCTCTATGAAGGTAACTTCACATTTCTTCCCTTGAGTCAGGGTCTTGTCATGTAGCCCAGACTGACCTCCAATTTGTGGCCATCCTCCTGCCTGCTTCAGATTAAAGTATGCCTGGCCACAAATGTTAATCGTGTTGGAATTCTTCTTTAAGACTTTATTTTACTTTATTTGAGTGTGTGTGTGTGTGTGTGTGCGCGCGCGCGCGCGCGCGCACACACACACACATGGGTGGGTAGGTGTAGTGTGCACATGTGTGTGGTGGGTGCTCTTGGAGACCAGAAGAGGACTTGAATCCCTTGGAGCTGGGGTTGCAGGTGGTTGTGAGCTACTTTGTGTGGGTGCTGGTAACTGAACCCTGGTCCTTTCCAAAAGCCACAAGTGCTCTTAGCTGCTGGTCGTCTCTCCACCCACCCATCCCTAAATTCCCCTTTGACTCTCAGCTGCCAGGAGACTTCTCCCGGGCTAGAAAGCCAGCGGCTTCTTTTCTAGATCCACCTCCGGCCTGGAGACCAGCTCTGCCTGAGCCCCAATAGGCTCCTCCTCCTAGTCTAGGGCCTTCTTGGTGGCTTCTCCCCTTCATTTCCCCTCCCCTTCCCCACAGTCACCTGCATGCAGGGCTCTTGGCTTCTCTGGGAGCTGCAATGAATGCCTGCAGGTGTGGTGGTTTTCCATTAACCTAGGCCATCTTCACTTGAAGGCACTAATCTGTCATTGTCCCTCTTGATGTGTGGGATTCTGTGTTGATTGACAGGGCCCAGTTCAAGGCACTTTCCTCTCCAGTTTTCCGGAAACTCTATGTCTCGTAATGTAGCCTTCATGCTGAGGTCATTTGAGGTCGCAGCATTATTCTCTTGAAAATGCCATGTGTGCTTTTTCC